TAAGGGCCTAAATTTTCAAGTGAGACATTTTAGTCTTGAATTTTTAGAAATATACACTTGAACTCCATTTGGAAGGAGTACAAATACAAATATGTAGAGTGCATTATACTGTTCATATTTGTATTTATACTCCTTCCAAACTGAGCCATGAGTCTTACAAAAAATTCCCAAATTCAAATTTTCTTTGTTCACTGTTCTTCGTTGTTCCATTCAAATTAATGTTTTTATTCTTTGTTGAAAAGAAGTAAAAAAAGTTCAGTATTTTTTTGTAAATTTGCTTGAACCTCGGATTCAATGCATGCACCAAGTTAATTAATGTATTTTAAACCAGAGATTTGGTAATGTATATGGCTTCTAAAATCAGGGACGTGAAAGGATTGGCCTATGTGGATTTATATCTGGAAGAAAGTTCAGATATGCCAAATTAAATATAAAATAAAATGATAACAAGTCAGTATGAGAAATGAGAATGTCAAATCTCGTCTCCAAGTAACCGGAAGTTGAATTTCCAACAGGGTTAATATATATATACATTTATTAATCATAGATTAACAACTAATACAAGAACGTGCATGCCATCAAACAGAATAATTCATCTCCAATAATTAATAACCACCTGTCTTATCTAACAACACAACACCTGCTAATTAGCTTCTTTCGTCCATCAAAAACGCGTACTACGACTTGACTACGTCCATGATTATGGTACTAATTATAATTTTTGTAAATAATAATTAAGTAAATTAAAAATACTAGTACACGTGATGCATAGCCAAGTTTGTCCTCATTCCTCAACCGCTTAGCTACCGTCTCCCCTGTATTTTATATATTTATATCCTACTGCTGCCATCATTCTTAATATTGCTGCAATCTAGAGGTAAACTATGATTAATTATAAATAATAAAAATAAATTAATAACCTCCTCAGTAATTTATACATAGATTACTTACTTATATATATATATATTATAATTAACATATTAAATTCCACGGTCTATAATAATTACCAGATTTCTGCACAGATTAAAAAGTTGAAAAAAGAAACTCTCGGCTTATAAACCAAACATTAACCTTTCAAAGCCCGAATAAACTCTCCATTTATTTTTTCCACTAGCTGTCTATTCGTAAGGGCAGAATGTGGTGTTATGGCACACAGATGTGAATTAATTCCGAAGAAGTTTTAAATCAAACCATAAACAAAATAATGGAGGATTAATTGGTGGTCAAATCTTACACTTGTTAAAACTACGTACTGGTACTGAGAAAGGAATATAGACTGTTGGGTAAATTTGGAATAGCAGAAATGTGGCAGTTTTTTGAAAATCTACATACAAGACCAGAGAAGTTGATTTCACAAGTAAAAAATATTATCGATATCAGTAAGTTACAGCTTGATCTAGCAGGCATTAACATGAAAGACCACCAAGATAGATTACAGATCGAATCAACTCTGTGACAATCCCAGTATATACACAGACAGATCCTTCAGTGAAGCCAACACTCAACAGAGCAGCAGCATGTATGGTTCTGATTTGTTCACTTCATCTCTCTATTCTGCAGCAGATCAATGTATTGCTACAAACAGCTAGCTATGAGGCAGAGTTCAGAGCCATATGATCGCAGGACTAAACGCAGGCAGGAGGTTTGTTCTTTTGCAAGATGATAAATGTTTGATTGAGAAAATAAATTATAGGTAAGGTGAAGGAATGCAGTTGGTGGGACCCCAGTTGTCTATATGGATAGGTTAATGGAAGTAATAGTAGATAAGGATGATAGGAAATATTTTAATTTTAATATATATATATATATCACAAAAATACAAATATATTAGCTCAGTCATAACATGGTATATATATATATATATATATATATATATATATATATATATATTACAAAAATACAAATATATTAGCTCAGTCATAACATGGCATTATGGAGGGCTTGTTTTGATCAAAAGAATATTATATGGAAGTATCTGTGAGGACACCATGCATATATACTGTTTTGTGAATAATAGTTAGTAATAGTCCAAAAATTGTTTAATCTAAACAGTTCAAGCTGTTAGGTGAGCTCCCTATTCTAGTACGCCCCCTTGTGTGAAAGCCCATGGGATTTGAAGTGTGGATAAGCATAGCCCCTTTATGTGAAAGTCCATCGGACTTGAAGGAATGACAATTTTTCCCATCCACATTGGGTGCCTGACCTCCCTGACCTGATGGGGGTTGAGGATAGGGAATGAAGTTCCCACAGGAAACTTGTCTCCATCGAAGATCGAGGATGGAAGACAATTTTTATCATCAACAAAGATTAGGGTTGGGAATGGGGATTTATTTTAAAATCGGGGTCGGGAATAGAAAATATGATTCTCGCCCCAAAACCTATCCCATTGCCATTCCTATGGCTAAGCATAGACTCATCCATACCTTTCATTGAAATTTAACCAATTATATTAGATAAAGACAGAACACTATACCACTCGATCATATGATGAGTTCTAATACCAACTTGAAGAACCTTTTTAACCTAAAAATTTAAGCTGTTAGGTGAAGTTCCTGATTAGGTTTTTATTTTCTGTATTTTTCTTTCGCAAAAAAGGAAAAAAAAACACCTTAAAAGCCTGTTTTGTTTGACCCATTACAGATAATTGGATTATGTGGAACGACATCTTAATGCTTATAGTCGTGTAATCTAGGTAGCCAAATAATTGTCTTTTTTTTTTCTTCTTTTAAATCAAATTAAATTTGAAGACAGTAGGACCATCAAAAACTATGAAAATACAGCCAAAATAATTATTAGGCCGCCCAATTTTTAGAAACGTTGACTGGATTAAGCCAATCTCAAGTGGGTACTGTTTCGTTTTCACGTAGGCACCTGAAATGGGTGTATTAACAACTAGAACACCTATGATGTTTATTGCTTCAAGTTGTTTTGATATAAAATGGCTTTAGAAGATAATACGAAATTATTTTCTATTTTAAAATTCTCCTTTTTTTTAATGTGTTTTGTTTGAACAAGATAAATACGATTGATCTAAATGATTGAACCATTGTGCCCGTGACCCAATATATCCAAATAGTTTTGTGTCTTGGGCTGTGTGTGACAACATTATTTAGAGCATATATATTGTGCACACAAAATTTCGGATTCGGACCAGCTCCTGCCCCACCTTGATGTCCTAATTAGTTGATTACGCGATGAATGAGACGGACTCCATCTTCGGTGACACGTTGGAACTTCTACCTTGTCTTCACCTGCGCTGCAATGCAAATTAGAGCAACTGTTCAAAATTGCCAAATATTTGTTTGGAGACAGCATTGGTTTTGATGATGTAACAGATATTTATTTCTTTTTGTTTAAAAAACAAAGCCATATATATTTTTTTAAACACACTCTTAGGCTATGTTTGCTTGGGCATACAACAAATAAAAGAAAAGTAGAAATAGTGAAAGTTCTTAAAGAACTTTCTTTCATCATTCTATTTCGTTCTTTCTTATTTTGTATCAAGCCAAACAAAGCCAATAACTAAACCTGGGATAGTCGAAACCATAGTTGAGTAATTTTGTCACTACATATTTTATTAATTCGAAAACTTTGGTTTGAAAAAAAAAGAAATAAAAGTACAATTAATTAAAACTAGAGTGGGCCATCTACATGAAAAAAAATATAAATTAATTAGAAAGATTGGATGGCTATATATATATATATATGTGTGTGTGTCAAAGGATGTAACATTCAAAATGGGCGCGCTTTATGTGTAAACTATGCGAGTGATGAAGAAAAATTGTTCCTTTTGACTCAAAATTTATAAGTAAATAAATTGTAACTCGTGCACGTGGGCAACTGTTTCTTCAATATTACATTATCACTACTCCTGTCTGTCTCTACTCACTCTACCTAAATTATTAAAGGTAGTGCTGACGGTTTCAAATTACTTCACTTGCCACCATTTTGATTGTGCAAGGAGTAACCCAAACCCAAATCATCTGCCTTATTATTTATTTATTTTTAAGATAACGGTAGTTCATTAAGGCTTTGCTTAGAACTAACACCGTTTGTTTGTTGAGAGATGTGTGTGTGTGTTTTTAATAAAAGGGTAAATTATAAAGAATGGATCAACGACAATTAGCCCATGAACTTTTATTTATAACAAAGACTCCTTGAACTTTTATTTTGAAACAAATATCCTCTCTGTTTGACTTATGTCATTTTACTTCAAAAACCTGTTTAAAAATCTTAATCCCCAAATTATCTTTTTTTTTTTTTTTGTATTTGAGCAATTTATGATCCAATTAATTTTCTAAATATAATATTAAAGTCTTTTCATTGCGCTAATAGATCCTTGCAGATCTATGACTGGATTCAATATTTAAGTGAAATAGTAGAAGTATATATATTTATAGTTTCCTTTAATTTTTTCTTAGTTTGTTGGAGAAAGGAGTGGATAATTTTTATATTTTAAGATGAAGATAAACATTCATATCAATAAAATAAAAAAAAAATTATAAAAACTTATTTTTCTATGCCAGCAAAATAATTCTTGTTATTTTAACCGGTTTCCTTCCAAAAAATGAAGGTATTTTTTGATCAATTAGGGTCTAAGAAAAGAGAAAAAGGTCAGGAAAAAAATTAGGTGAACATTTTATAATTTAATGCATTCTAGACTTAATGACAAGTGGTATTTTGTTTAAAAAGTAATTGTCACCGACTCCACTGACCCTCCCCCCATGGTAGGGTGGGCCGTAGGGGGTTCTATAATTTATAATTTAGCCCAAATAAAATAAATAAAAAAAGCCTCTACTGCAAGTTGACGGTTAAACAAATATTAGTTACACCTTCTATAATGGGAGGGCCGGGTTTTTTGTTTATGGTAAAAGCGTTAAGGTTTATCTCCTGATGCTAAATTAATATTTGTTCCAAACACGTTCCGGTGGGAACCTAAGATGGTTTCTATATATAAATGCATTGCTTTCGCTAAAGGAATGAGCTTGGCCGAGGAACTTGGATTTAATTAGGAGATACCTTGGCCTTACTACAATTAATTGTACATAGATGGTGATGAAAAGTGCAGACTCCCAGCAGAAAACGGAGTTGAAGAAAGGGGCATGGACTCCAGAAGAAGATGAGAAGTTGACTGCTTACATTAGGAGATACGGTCACTGGAACTGGCGCGAGCTTCCAAGATTTGCTGGTAGGAATAGGATAGCAATAGCATATATGCGGGAGAGACTTCTCCTTTATCAACAAGAATCTGTTCTTCTTACACTTTGATTTGATTTTTTTCCTTTGGTTGATAAATGAATGATTCTCATCTTTTCCCCTACTGATCATGAACAAAACGTTGTCACTTTGATGAATTGATGAGTAGTAGTTATATATATATATATATATATTTTTTTTTTTTTAAGAAATTTCACTCAGGCATATTATATATAGTCGCGTTTACAATTTTTATATCTGCCCAGGTTCTTGCTTTGATAAGTAGAAAAAGTATCAATGCTCTACTTTTTCTTCTCCGAATCCGATATCATCTTCATTGATATATAAAAAGATATGAAATAGCTAGTTTCGATGATGAATTTGGTGTGTGCTGGGTTCCCCATTGAAATGGAATTGAAACTAGATTTTCTTTATTCTTGCCTACGTCTAAACGTGATTGCATTTCCTTAATTTATAACATTTGGTAAATGAATTTGTTGGTATTATTATATGATAGTGATAGCTTCTAACGTTTTCTTATTTCTCTTGTTAATTCTGATCTGTAGGTCTATCAAGGTGTGGGAAGAGTTGCAGACTCAGATGGGTTAATTACCTCCGGCCGGGTATCAAACGAGGCAACTTCAGCGCAGAGGAAGATGAAATCATCATCAACTTACACCAATCCCTTGGGAATAAGTACGTACGTCCTCCTTTAATTTTACGTCCCTAAATATTGAACTTATTGCAAATTAATATAAAAATTTATACTGGTTTTCCGCTGATCATTGACTTGTATAAATTGCAAACTCAAAAAACCATTAATTTGTGAAAACCCAAGCATTCACTTTTCTTCTAATAAACATGTAATATTTCTCCTCTTGGGTTGCACCTTGCAACTGGGGATTTATTTCTTGTATTCAGATGGTTAGTGCTTTTTATTAAAATGCCTTGTTAATTAATTTAATCACTCACCACTGGTTGAACCGGCCTGCTGTATCTATGCAGCAGTACAAATCTCTTGAGTCGCACAAGATAGTGTTAGAGATCTGATGTTCTTTTGTTTGCAGATGGGCTGCAATCTCTGCGCAATTACCAGGAAGAACCGATAATGAAGTCAAGAACTATTGGCATTCCCACCTAAAGAAGCGGTTGAAACAAGATCCTACAGCGTCGACAAAGGAGAAACTGCAATCCGAAGAAATATCTGATTATAGCAAGGCGGAAACCAACGATAATTTTAAGAAAGAATCAGAACCCGAAACCTCACCATCAATTCCCGGTATTCTTTCAGACGAGGTAGAACGTTTCCAGCTATCGTCACCGGAGTATTGCAGTAGCGATCTCTATTATTCGCCGAGCACTGATTCTGGGGTTATAGTTGGCACAGATAAACACAAAACAACATTACCACAATCTAGTGCTAGCTTCTGGACAGAACCATATTTGGCAGGAAATGCTTATATCAATGACGATTTTCTGGAGGCCTTTGCCAACCTTGAATCTCTGTCTCCATTTTCTCTGGTCTCCCTGGGGGAACCCTTGTATCAATCTGGTTTCTTCATTGACGATTACATGAATATATCTTCAACCATTTGATGAAAATTATCTAAGGGACAAATTAATTCCAGACTCGTGGGGTGGGGCTTCCGTATCCGCAACCAACCCATCAACGTAACATCCCCCATTTGTCTATGTGCCATGCATCTAGATTCAGACTTCATAGCTTGCTACACACCATTCGTAATTCTTAATATATATAGGGTGTTCGGAAAAAATGAAAATTACACATAGAATGAAGAAATATCAAAATTAATTATAGCCAGACACATTCTCCTTCTATTCTAGCTGTAGTACTTGGTATCTGTTTAAGCAGTTAATTATTAAACTTTGATAATGCTCTTTTTCATAAAATCATCCACTAATTTTCTTTTCTTTTTCGCTGCAAAAATGCAAATCATCCATTACCTTTCTGTGATTGTGATCGCCATCTGACAGAACTTTCTATATATCCAATACAATTATACAATACGTCTAATTCATTTGAGATCAATTACCACATATTCCAAAGTACTGACGACCGATTATTAATGTAAAACCATTTAATAGCACTGTTTCATTAAACGGAAGCGAGCGATGGATCATCTTTGTCGAATTAATGGTCTTTGTTAGTGGAAGGTTCGTTAGGTGAAAGCTTGAGATGGATGGATATGTTGGTTTCAAGGCCTCAACCCCACTCCACCCCACCAATGATCAGGGTCATCAAATTAGAAGATACATGCCTGTCGTTTATGTTCTCATCATGTCCTCTTTGTACTCATTAAATGCAACTTTATCATTTATAATTAAATTGATCATCAATCTGTTTCCTGGCTATGAGGTGAATGGAAAAGAAAAAAAAAAAAAAGGGAGAATGATGGTTCAATCCAGAATCAGAATTCATAGGCTCAAAGTACAATTGGGGTAGATGCTAACTCGAAATTGATGTCAATTCCTGGGACCAGGTAATTGACGTTTTGATTTATTGTAGGTCTGTAGTAAAAATTAGAACTCTACAGTAGGCCTATCCATAATTAAGCAAATCTCTAATCCAGTGCATTCCATCTTTACTTCCTTAAAGGTTATGTTTGGTTTGAAGGAAAAGATAAGAAAACCTTTACAAGCCTTATATAAGTAATAGGTTTCGCTGTCTTTTCCTTCATTTTCCTTCTTTTTTCTTCAAACCAAACATAGAGATTTCTACCAACTTGTTAATACGCAACCTAATATCTCCCTTTGACTCTACGTATCTCTACTAATATCTCGGCTGTTCTTTTTGCTATGCAAACAGACATGCCAAATCCCCAGTCCATTTCTTAGCTTAATTAGTAGGATAAATTACAAAGACCCCCTTACTATAGGGTTAGACAAACACCTTTCTGAACTTTTACGTGTGAAAAATACCTCCTAGCCAGTAAATCAGATGATGGAATCCATTAAATTACCAAAATACCCATAAAAAATTTCTTTATTTTCTTCTCATTGCCCTTTTCTTTTTAAAAATCCTTTTCTCTTAAATTATCAATCCAATCCAATAATTCTTTTTTTTTCGGTCCCAAAAGCAATAACAAATCCAACTCTCATCATCAGTAGAGACAGATTTGGAAGAATCAGTTCCGGTCTTCTTTGAAAACAAAAAATTGTGGACGTTGGTCATTAGACCACTGCTTGCGATTATAACTGTACCGAGCAACCTGCTGTTTGTTGAGTTGTTTGTCATTCAGTCATTCCTCACGGTGAATTGAAAATAGGGTAAGCCACCCGATCAAGTTGGAAAAAAATCTGGTCAAATTTAATGACTGAAAATTGATGTAGAGAAAACCCATTTTTTTAATATCTTAATAATGGTGTGTGCCCACTGGCAGATATTTTCCCCCTACCTCTGCAATAACACTAGATCTTTTCTGCCTCATCTGCTCCTCATGATGGCAATGACACTAGATCAAAGATGAAACTCAATATTGCAAATCCTACTACAAGATGCTAGATGCCAGAAGGTTGAAATCGACGATGACCAGAAACTCCGAGCATTTTTTGACAAGGGGATCTCACAGTAGGTCAATGGAGATGATCTTGGTGAGTTATTTAAGGGTTATGCTTTCAAAATTATGGGAGGTTGTGACAAGCAAGGATCCCCCATGAAATAGCAGGAAGGAAGTCTCTCCGTGGTTGCATTGTCACCCCAGACCTATCAGTTTGGAACTTGGTTATTGTGAAGAAGGGTCAGAATGACCTTTCGTGGATGCATCACCCTCTTGATCAACTTATTGATGTAATCTTCATGATTTCTAGCATCTCCTCCCTTAACACAATGGATCCTCTTCTTTTTCAACCCCCAACCAATGGAGACTTGAGCTTAAATGGCCATAAGAAGTTGTTTGCCTCTTAAAGTGGGGACCAACAGTCATGATCTCATGGACAAGATCTTCTATGCATATGATATTCCATACTTCCCATAAGAGCCTGTTCAATAATTGAATCGTCATTCAATGCAATTCTTTGTTCGTTTAGCTTCCCATAACCCCTCTTGTACATCAATTTATGAACACTCTTCAAGGCTCCACGCGGTGCAACATGTTCAATATTGTTGCTTTGTTTACCTTAAGAGAGACACCATTAAATATCTGTCTTAAACAATAAAAGCTTCAAAATCTTTCTGGTGTTTTGAGTGATTGCATTGATTCCATGGATTAGGATGATAAACCCGGACTTTCAAACGTGTCACTATAGCATCTAAACTTTCAGAAAGTGTCAAGTTGGCCCCTGTCGTTAATCGACCGTCGGCTATTGGTTAAAAATGTCAAAACTACCCTTCAAAAGAAAACACTGTTCATTGTCTTCTACCTCGAGACTGAACCAGTTGGGGTGTTTGAGATTCTAGACTATTAAAGTCATTATCTTCTACCTTTAGACCTGAAACACATTCTTGTCTAATTATTTCTTTGCTTTCAGTTATTGCTTCCCTCTATCATATTTCATGTTTTTTTTTTCTCTTTTTTCTTTGAAGATAAACCGGTTCAGTCTCAAGGTAGAAGACAATGAACAATGTATTCTTTTGGAGGGTAGTGACATTTTAAATAGATAACATGAATTTCTCTATCAATTCCATTACCTTCTCCTTACCCATGATGTTCCAACATTTGATCCTTAATTGACSTAGGAGTTGTTCCCGGGCATCCTCAATAAAAAGGTTATTATACACCCCAACCCCATCCCTTGGAAAGAAAAAGGTAGCACCGAAGAAAGGAAAGAGCGAGATGGTGGAATGGTGCAGGGACCAACTTGACACTTTTTGAAAGTTTGGGTATTGCAATGAAACATTTGAAAGTTTGGGTACTAAATTGACACTACCCCCAAAGTTCCGGGTAGTAAAGTGGAATTTTCTCTAAATTTTATTCAAAAAAGAAAAAAATAAAAGGTGTAAAGAAGAGGTATACAAAAGCCAAACCCCACAGAAAACCAGAAAAAAAACCACTACACAACCCGAGCCCGACGCTCAAGGGTCAAAACATCACCATGTAAGCACAAAGTGAGAACTGAAACAAGAGCAAGTAATACATGATGATAAATAATGGATTATATTTTCTCTAAACATATGAAGTTTCAAAAGGATAGACATATATACTATCCACACCTACGTACCCATACATAGAAACTTAGAACATATTCATTCACAAGGTGAGGCGGATGTAACTGAGATTTGAAAGTTGAATGAAGGTACTGTTTCTGATGATGTTCGATTGTGGTGTACTGGGTAGGTGTGGGCAATCGTAAAATGAATGCTCCTCACTGTGTGCGTTCCACACTGACCTCACAGCATGTTCTGGGTGCACATTGAAAATATCTCCCATCCTTAAATTTATAATTCATGAGAAAATGTTCTAATACAAGGTAAGATATAGCTGTAAAATTAGTGTGAGACGCACTATGTGAAGAGCAGATCCCAATTCAAAATCAATATTGATAATATGACAAACCCGTCTTTAAATATATGGGGCGGCTGTGATAGAAACAGTGAAACAGGTGTCATTTGTGAGTATTTTATAACTGGCTTAGTACATTATCACTGATTCCGCGTCCCACCAAACAACTATTTCTATTTATTTTTTCTTTGTAAATAGCACATGCGAATAAAGAGGATTGTGGTAGAGAATGGAGAGATGCGAAGATTCTCTGAAGGAAGCAGAGGAATCAAGGTGCTATATATAGCTGGTAGGCGATTCACGGGTCCATGGAAATTAAGGTTCAGTTTGGAAGGAGTATAAATACAAATTTATAGTGTATAATATATAATATGATACAAAATATACTCTACAAATTTGTATTTGTATTCCTTCCAAACGGAACCTGAGTATGAGAAGGGTCACAATCACAAATTTCAATTGTGACCTAATCAATTAGTCCGGCCAGGGACGACAGAGTGTGATGTTTTGTCATTAATGTGAGTGATTTCACTAATTTGAGAGCTCAAAAAGCTGAATGTCAAATATGTAAAACTATACCATTTGTCGATTGTCTTCTATGATTTGCCAATTATGTATCCCCCCCAGTGGTTCTCTAATACAACGCTTTTATTTATTTACTTTTATTTATTTTTTTTATTTTCCAACACGTGGTCTTCTTGTCAGGTGTTTTCTACTTGAGTCTTGATTCTCTAGCTTTCAGATGGAAATTGGAAACCATCGAAACAAAACAAACAGTCACACATCTCAATAGTGGCCAATCCAATTGCTTTTTACAAGTGGATTACAACCAAGAATATTATTATGTATTGTTTTTTCGTAAAATATATATAAAAATTCATTTGGTGGAGATACATGCATGTGTTTCATCAACTCATGAGAGTTAATTAATTATACGAGTCGTCTTATCAACGAATAGGTGTGCCAATTGAAATATACATATTCTGATTCAATTATATATTAAGATGATTTAATTTGAAATTAAATTAAATATTGAATTTTCCAAATCCATTGACAACCACCCTAGCTATTTGAAATTCTATAATTTAATTGTATGCGTGGAGAAAGTGGGGTCCGGCAATTTTCTTTTAGTTGTCC